CAGGTGTGCACTGCACATCCCTGAGGCTCAGCGCACTCCATTGGCAGGGCAGGGCACAGGGCAGGCCCAGCACTGGGCTTGGCCATGGGAGCGCAGCAGCAATGAAATAACAGCTGCTCCAACAAATGACTCCTGCCAGGCTGCGTGGCCGATGGCCCCAATTTAGATGTAACAAAACTGATCTGGGTGATGAAGAACATGAAAAAACATCTCAGAAAATTTTACTCTGTGAGTCAAGCTTGGAATTCAGAACTGCAGGCAAAGTGGAAGGCCCTGAGCTGGCACGCGTGTTACTTTAGAGAGATGAGTGTCATTAATATGAAATAAGCAGCCATGGAATAACGTCCTGAAGCCACAAGTACAGCACCCCTCGGGGAGAGCACCCTGCCCACAGCCAGGGCTCACCAGGGACTGAATCACCTGGAACCTCTGAGTGCAGGTGTACAACAGAACTCCCAAACTCCATCCCAAAGCTGTTGTTTTAACAAGCCCTTGGCTCTTTGCTGCCTGCCCTTCACTCCCAGTTTGGGGACATGTCACTGTCATATTTTCTGAAAAACCCCTTTGCCAGGATTTCTTCTCCTGGGGAGCTGGGAAGCTTCAGCTTCTCCACGATTTTCTCCTCTAGAATGTGATTTGAAGAATTGTTTACCCAGCATGTGAATTGTTTTTAATTAATGACCAATCACAGCCAGCTGTGTTGGGTTCTCTGTCACAAGTTTTTATGATCATTCTTATCTAGCCTTCTGATGTATCCTTTCTCTTCCTTTAGCATAGTCTTAGAATATAATATAACATAACAAACATAACATAACAAATATAACATAATTAATATAATCCTTCTGAGAACTTGGGGTCGATTCTCATCTCTCACTGGGTCCTGGAGGCCCTCACAACAGCAGCACAACAATTAATGACCCCAGGGATGTGTGAGTACATCCCTGCCTGCAGCTACGTCTGCTCACTCCCCGATGCCCTGTGCTGACTGACAGGGGAACACAAGCAGGAGAGGAGACGTTCCTGCCCGGGTAATGCTCCTCAGTCTCAAATTCAGCTTTTGACTGGCTTATTTTTAAACAACAGCAACGATATTTTCAGCAGAGCATTTATTTCTCTTGGTCTCACATGTTTATGCAGAACACCGAGTTAACCAACACCTTGTTCCCCTCATGGAACTGTTACTGCTCCCACAGCAAACCACCCATCCCGCTCCCCCCAAACCACCAAAAAACAGCTTTGAGGGGAAAGACCATGTTTATATCTGTCTGCTCCTGCTCCTGATGCTAACTCTGACAGCAGCCTTGGTGACTGTCCCCATCCCTGTGCCCCTGCTTGTCCTGCCTCAGCATCCATTCCCACCTCTAATGCCTGCAGCACAGCTCTAGCAAGGCTTGAAGCATTCCTGGCTTTGCATTCCTCTTCATACCCACAATATATCCTATTTGCTGCATCCCTTGCTTCTCCACTATGTTTTGTTACTCGATTTGTGGCTGTAAAACCTCATCAGGCCAAAGCCATGTCAGTCCTAGGGCACACACTGATATTTTAGCAAGAGGGAAATATAGAAAAAAAAAATTAACCAAAGAAAGCAAAAAATGGCCTCTGTCTGGGCAGTGCTGCCCGGCAGAGCTCCCTGAGGCTGGAAGCAGGGCAGGTGCTGGGTGAGGGACAGGTAACAAGGGGCAGCAGCAAGCAGCAGCTCCTGTAACTCCTGCTACACCTGAGCGTGTCCTGAGGGAACAACACCTGATGGGATTGCCTTCCAGTGCCCAGGGAGGGGCTGCGGGCTGGGGCAGCTGGGGAACCACCAACAGGGACAGCACAGCTGAGAACGTGAGCTGAGGGGACAGCAAAGCCACTTTCTGCAGCCTAAAGTGACCCTTTAAAGAGTCCCTGGTGGCACTGACCTTGTCAAGGTCAGCGACCACAGCACCCGTGCAATAGCTCCAGGATCCCTGCTGGATTTGGGGACAGCCAGGGCTGCACACCCTGCTGCTGGCTGTGCGTTTGAGGACACCCCTTTGTCCCCCAGACGTCTCCCAAGGCTTTCCCAGCTGTGTGTCCTCAGGCAGTGCCTGTGCTCCACAGATGAGATCCACGGAACCCTCATCTGGATTCCACAGCAGCGCTGAATAACAAACCCTGCTCACGTGGGACCGCAAGGAGCTGCGGGTCTGCACAGGAATGAGGGGATTCTCAAAAATCTGCCACCGTGTCACTCCCCATTAGAGTCACTTCTACAGAATTCTGTCCAGCTCTGAGACCTTTGGGGGTTTGTTTGGGCACGGCACGTTGGGCTGTGGTGGCAAAGGAAAATCAGGAATTATCTTTCCAGGTGAAATGATGCTGGAAATGGATCAGCACTCACTTTGCCACTACAGCAGCCAGCACCCAGTGCTCTGGGAGAAGGGAGCTCACTTCTCTCTGCATGCAGGTACCTGCTCCTGGCCCATGTAGGCAAATAAACAGGATCCCATGAGTGATTTCCTTTGGATTGCTGAAGTATTGGCTAGAATTTGTCTGCTTTTACCATAAAATATACCCATGTTAATGTTTTTATGTGTCTTAAAATTGCTCAGTGCTGTTAGAGTCTCGCTCCCAGAGTGCTTGGATGGGTTCAAACCCTACATCCCAGTCAACCAGGGTGTGTGAAAGTTTTAGGACTTGCTTTTGAAATAATTTTTCCATTTAAGCCAAGCCTCTGTTCCTGATCATGCATGAAGAGCTGCAGCACAGAAGGTGACAAGCTGAGAACACAAGTTTTAGGGGAAAATGTTAAAGATCATTATTTAAAGGCCTTCACTTGTTAACATGCATTTGCTGATGCTACTTTGAATTCAAGCCATCTGCAATAAAAAGTAGTATTATGGAGATGCATTTTAAGGAAAAAAAGCAAAGTTTTACTCTTCCTGTAAACTGACAGTGCACTGGGAAACTTGGTGAAACTTCACCACGTGGGAGGTGTTGACAACCGAGCACATACCAAGGGAGGGATTTACAGGCACACAGTTCCACAAATACATCCCAGACTGGTATTTGCCAAGGCAACCCGTGAGCCTTCAGCACATTCTTTAGAGCCTTATTCAAGTGAGGTGTTATTTTCTCCACCAGGGCCCTGGTGACAAATGCACTTTCCTGTGCCCTCCTACTGGTCCCACTGTCCTCCTAATCACCACTGCAAACACCAAAACTCCCACCAGTCTGGCATTTGCAGGGGAAGAACGAGGGTTATGGGTCAGGAGGCCGCCAAGAGCCAACGCAAACCAGAGAGAAATTGCACTGCAAAGTAAAGGAATCTGCCCTGAGAAACGTTCAGTTTTGAGCATGTATTAAGCACCCAGTGAGCCCTTACACAGAGAGAGGAGCCCAGGTGCAGAGGGGTGGCAGGTTAAGGATGCTGCATGTTCAGAGAGAGAGCCCAGGCTGGCAGCTGTGAGTCTTTCCTGCCAGGAAATTATTATTTTGTGCTACACACATTTCTCTGGCTGTACCACAATGTGTGAAATAACAGGCAAAAGTCAACGGGACTCCAATGTGTTTTCTAATCTGTCTCCATTTTTAGCAGTGTCACTAGAGGCATCCCATGAACTGAAAGGAAAAGGAATCTGGATGAGATAAATCTCATTTAAAATGACAGAGAGAGCAAGCAGCTGGGAAGAAAAATAAAAGACCGTTCTTTTTGTTAGATTAAATAGCACAGCACAGAATCAAAAGTCCAGAATGGTTTGGGTTGTGAGGGACCTTAAAGCACTCCTACCATGGACAGGGACACCAATGTCACACTGTGCCAGGTGCTCCAGGGCCCATCCAGCCTGGCCTTGGGCACTGCCAGGGGTGTGGAGCCTGCTCTGCTATGGACAGCATTGCCATGGGAAGCAGGGATGGGGAGCCTGCTCTCCTAGAACAGCATTGCCATGGGAAGGAGTTTGGGCACTGCCAGGGGTGTGGAGCCTGCTCTCCTATGGACAGCATTGCCATGGGAAGCAGGGATGGGGAGCCCGCTCTCCTCTGAGCACAGCATTGCCATGGAAGCAGTTCTGAGACACGCCGTGCACAGAGTTCAGCTAACAGGAAATGCCCGAATCAGCTCCTGGGCGAGCACAGACACAGATGATTGTCACAGCGATTCATCAGGGCGTGTATTACCCCAAACACCAACACCTCCAGCTGCAGAGGAGGCTCAGCAGCAATCTCTGAGCCTGGCATTTCAACTGCATCACACGGACAGAGGCTCCATAAGATGCTGAGGAGCAGACGGAGCAGGAAGGTGCAGCTGGGCCCCAGTGCCAGGCAGAGCCATCCCCTCCTGGCACCCGAGAGCACAGCTCTGCACATCGGAGCCATGGTTATCACAGCCATGGTTATCACACACAGCTCTGCCCATCGGAGCCATGGTTATCACACACAGCTCTGCCCATCACAGCCATGGTACCACCACCCCGGAGGGAGAATTGGAAACAGCCTCAGACACAATGCCAAACAGCACACCTGAAAATGGAGCCCGCAAAGCCTTCAGGCAGCAGATGGGTCATGTGCAGCAAATCTATTTATCTGTCTATCACACTTTATGTCCATATTTATAGATACATTACACAGGTAAGCACTGATTAATAACCACAGGCAGGCACTAATTAAGGAGCATAGTTAGGCACTCATTAGCGAGCACAGGTAGATGCTAATTAAGGAGCACAGGTAGGCAGAAACCTCAGTAGCTGCACACCGAGGGAGTCCCTGCCTGCAGCGCACTCCAGATAAAACCTGTAGGCTGCTCGTGCTGTCACATTTAAAGAGATTTTTACGATTCACACTGCAAAAGGCTAAAAAAAAAAAAAATCCATCCCTGCTGCAGATGGTTCTGTTTTCCCTCTCTGTCCTCTAAACAGTGGGACCAGATGAGGAGTGATGCATCGATTGGTCCAGGGAAGCACCGAGAGGACGGAGAAGGAAAATAAACCAAAAAATGCTAAAAATGCCCCAAGCGTAGAGTGAAATGTGCTCACCAGGCAGCCGAGCGCGGATGCGAGCGGTCGGAGGAGCTAAGGACGGGTTTCCCCGGCAGGCTGCGGGATGCGCTCAGCGCCGGCAGGCTCAGCCATTGCGGAGTCACTGCAGCCCCGGCAGCACGTCAGCAGCGCGGCTGCTCCAGACCCTCCCACCGAGATCGGCTCCAGAGCCCTCCCATCCATCCCTGCCCGCCTGCGAGATCAGCTCCAGAGCCCTCCCATCCGAGATCAGCTCCAGACCCTCCCATCCGAGATCAGCTCCAGAGCCCTCCCATCCCTCCCATCCCCAGATCAGCCCCGCTCCCGCTCCAGACCCCTCCGTTCCCCCGTTCCCCGTTCCGTGGCTGTCCGTTCCCAGCCAGCCGAGGCTGCTGTCCCAAACGCGCTCAGGCCCCGCTCTCCGGCCAGGATGGGCACTCCCAGCTCCCTGAGGAAGCCAAAGCTCTGCGTCCAGCACAGCTGGAGCCCACACGGAGCTGCTCCTCCTGCCTTGCTGGAAAGGGCAGGGGGGGATCGAAGGACACTTGGATTTAAAAACACCTGCCAGGCTTTGCACTTGCTCCTGGCAATAGAGATGGGATCAAGTTATAGACTCATGGAATCATGGGCTCTTCTGGGTTGGAAGGGACCCCAAATCCCCCCCAGTGCCACCCAGCCATGGCAGGGACACCTCCCACTGTCCCAGGTGCTCCAGCCCCAGTGTCCAGCCTGGCCTTGGGCACTGCCAGGGATCCAGGGGCAGCCACAGCTGTGCCAGGGCCTGCCCACCCTGCAGGGAACAATTCCCAATTCCCAATATCCCATCCAGCCCTGCCAGGGAACAATTCCCAATTCCCAATATCCCACCCATCCCTGCCCTCTGGCACTGGGAGCCATTCCCTGTGTCCTGTCCCTCCATCCTTGTCCCCAGTCCCTCTGCAGCTCTCCTGGAGCCCCTTCAGGCCCTGCCAGGGGCTCTGAGCTCTCCCTGGAGCTGCTCCTGTCCAGGTGAGCACCCCCAGGTGTCCCAGCCTGGCTCCAGAGCAGAGGACTCTGGACTCACTCCATGTCCCACGGATGCCCACCCCTGCGGAAGTGAGGGCAGGAATTGGGTGTATCCCTTACAGGAACGGCATTCCTGGGTGCCAGCGTGCTCTGCAGTGAGCTGGCAGTGCTGGAGGGTGGAAAAGGCAGGCGTTGTTGCAAGGTTTGATCTGAGGACTAAAACACACAGACATAAAGCAGGCCTGTAACCCCCAGTGTGCTATATCCCACTGCTCCTCACACCTGAGGAAATATCCATAGTCAATAGTCACTCACTGAAAATTCCCCTTTCCATCAGAAACAAATCACAAATATGCATAAAGGAAATGCCTTTGGGTACAAGATACTTCTAACAGCCCCACACCACAAAGTTCTCTACAAGCAAATAGGATATACGGCACATTTGTTTGGTTTTGTGTTTTCCTGACATGAGACTGGAAGAAGACTGGGAGCTGTTCCCAGTGCATGTCCATGAACTGCTGACAGGAACGACAGTGACCTGAGTGCAGGGCTGGGAAGCAGAAACCTACCCTGGAACACAAATTTTCAGTTTTAGAAAGGAGGGTCTGGGGTTTTTCCTCCCTTTAACAACAGCTGTGTATCTGGAACTTTGCATAGAAAATCTTCATTTTCCCTCCATCCAAAGCTCACAACTGTGCAGGACAACGAACACAACTGCTGACCAGATTCCTTAGAAACTTGTTCCTGTTTTTGTGGATCCCAGCGCTGTGCTCCCCTGCCTGTTCCCTCTCGGTGGCTCAGTTACCCTTTGCCAAAGGGACATGTAGTGGCACTTGGGGACAGCAGGGCTGGCTGTGCCTCTGGGAGCTGTGACAACAACGGCCGGGGACAAATGAAACTGCTTTCTATTTTCAGAGCTGAATTGCAACACTTTGTGGGAGTTTGTAAGCAAAACAAGTCACGTCGCAGGCAGTGCTGTAAGTGACCCGCACAAGAGCCCAGCAGCGGTTTGCATCACTCAGAGAATGCGGGTTTGTTTTTCAGCTGGCAAGCGCTCAGGAGGAGCATTCCTCTGGCAGCTTCCATGGGCCGAGCTGCACACAAACGGGAACGGGCTTTAAAAACCTGAAGTTAGGAAGTAAAGAAGAGCTGAAGGCATTTTCATGCTCTGCTTTTCTGATTCAGCCTGGAAGTGGTCGGAGTTTCTTCCATTGTGAGACTGAAAGCAAACCAGCAGCGCTCTGGGCTTGGTTTAAGCCCTGGTGTGTGCCCTGTCCAGCTGAGCCAGCACAGGTTGTGAGCCCCCTGTGACACCGAGCTCAGGCAGGGTCACTGCCCCTGGGCAGCCGCCACAGATCGGCACAGAGCGGGTCACAGACATCTTGTATGGAAAATCCTTTCCTTGGGATTTTCCTGCTGAGAAGCTGGGAGGCCTCAGGAACAAAATGCAAACAATGGTTATCTGCTGCTGTGGGATGCAACAGGTGCAGCTGGGATTGGTCTCATGGGGTTGTTTCTAATTAATGGCCAATCACAGTCAGCTGGCTCAGACAGAGAGCCGAGCCACAAACCTTTGTTATCATTCTTTGCTATTCTATTCTTAGCTGGCCTTCTGATGAAATCCTTTCTTCTATTCTTTTAGTATAGTTTCAATGTAATCTATACCATAAAATAATAAATCAGCCTTCTGAGACATGGAGTCAGATCCTCGTCTCTTCCCTCATCCTCAGACCCCTGTGAACACGGTCACACAGAGCATGTGGGGATTGCTGAGGAATGTGACAGACATGGCCCAGGACACAGCACAGAGCTGTGGGGATTGCTGAGGAATGTGACAATGGCCCAGGACAGCACAGCCCTGCCACGGCAGCAGCCACACCACACACAGGCTTTTATTAACTCTCCAAATAGAGTGAAATCAGAGAACCAGCAAATCTCACAAGGGTTTGGGCTGCAAGGGACTTTAAGGCTCACGGTGTTCCACCCGTGGTGGGCAGGGACACCTTGCACTGTCCCACATCAGCAGCCTGGGTGAGCAGCAGTGGCGTGGAAAGGATGCAAGAGCAGCTGGGTGGTTAATGATGAACCTGGTTCCAAGAAATGCTCAGCATGAAACACACGTGGCTGGATTTCCAGAGGCAGCCAGGGAGGTTAATGGCCAACCCTCGGTGGGATGCAGACGGGGAGTGCTCAGATTCCAGTGGGGTTTGAGCCTGTGTCTGCCCAGGACAGTAACAGTCACGGAATCACCAAATCGTTTGGGCTGGAAAATCCCTCCCAGCCCTGGAGTCCCAGCTGTGCCCATCCCCACCCCGTCCCCAGCTCTGAGTGCCACCTCCAGGTGCCACCTGCAGGGATGGGCACTGAACCCTCCCTGGGCAGTTCCTGAGCCCCTTTCCATGGGGCAATTCCTGCTGTGCCCACCCTGAGCTGCCCTGGCCCAGCCTGGGGCCGTCCCCTCTGCTCCTGTCCCTGTTCCCTGGCGCAGAGCCTGACCTGGGGCTGTGCCCTCCTGGCAGGGAGTTGTAGGCACATTTTTCCAAATCAGTCCTGAAATTCCCGCTGTCTCACATTGTACTGCTAGGAAGTGGGTGGATTAGTTTGATTTTTATTAGTAAGAAACCAAAGAAATGTCAGCAAATATTATCCATTTCTAAACTAATGCAAGTTTATAATGGGTTTGGGATTACAAGCAACTTCTGTGCAATGCCTGAAATGCCCATCCCTCACAGCTGGGCTGAGCCCTCATGTCAGGCCCAGCCCAGAGGCTGAAAACAAACACAAAGTTGAAGCTGTCTGAGCAGCAAGTGTGACTCCATACCCAAATCAATGCCTTTGTTATTCTGTGGAGGAGATGGTCACTGTTTGTGGCTTAAAGGGAATTAGTCAATACATGATTGGTCTGTGGCATGCAAGTAAATAAGATTAGGGCAAGTCCCAGCTGTGCAGAGGATCGCAGTGCAACAAATCAATAACCTTTCAAAGACTTCATCCAACAACAGGAAAATTCACAATTTCTCCTGATGACAGCACAGTGTGTTTCTGACAATAACCCAAAAGTTTCTGCCATCAAATTATACATGAAAATAAAAGCATTCGCCCAATGATCAATGAAAGAGCAGCTGTGGCTGCCCCTGGATCCCCGGCAGTGCCCAAGGCCAGGCTGGACATTGGGGCTGGGAGCACCTGGGACAGTGGGAGGTGTCCCTGCCATGGCTGGGGTGGCACTGAGTTAAGGTCCCTCCCAACCCAAACCCTTCTGGGGTTCTGAGATGCCACGATCCCCACATCCCTCCTGAGGCAGGCATGCTGTGTGCCTGCAGTGCTGTGTGCCCTGTTCCTCACAGCCGAGGCAGCGCTGCCTGCAGGAGAGGAGCAGGTTCTGGGTGCCAGAACTTCCTGTAGCTCCCATTCCTCACAGCCGAGGCAGTGCAGGCTGTAGGAGAGGAGCAAGCTCCGGAGGCAGAACCTGCTGTACCGCCGAGGAGCGGCTGCCGTGCGCGGTGCCCCGTGGCCATGCCCGGGGAGGGAGGCTGCCGTGCCCGGTGCCCGTGTCCCGTGGCCGGGGCTGCCGTGCCCGTGCCCAGTACCCCGTGCCCGGGGCTGCCGGCAGCAGGGAGCAGCAGAGCTCCGCGGGAGGAGCGGGAGCGGCCCCGAGCGCAGGCACCGGGAACCCGGCCCTCGTTACCCGCTTAAACGCGGCCTTTGCTCCCGCCACGGACGGCTCTTCCCTGCTGGAACGGAACCGCTCCATTGCCCCTCCTTATCCACCGGCTACACAGAGCGCCATGCCCACACCCCTGGCACCCGGCCTTGTCCTTCTGGGAAGGTTAAAAGGCAATATGCACAACTCACACGCAATTTACTGATGTATTTCACTTGGGCTCTGCGACTCGGCTGCAGAAAGGCGCAGGTGAAAACAATTCCAGACAAGGCAGAAAAGCCTGCATGCTTTAATTGAGTTAATACTTTGGCTAAATAAAATCAGGTTTTATGCGTTTGTCTTTACAACGTCCCAGCAGTAAATCAGTATCTGCTTTCAAGCAACAACACGAGTTAAGTGGTTCCCGCTGTCGAGAGCCCTGATGGCATCGCGTCAATTAAAGACCAAAAGATTTTTTATTATCTATTATTTATTTATTATTATTTAT